TCTAATTGTTCAATTATCTCTTGTTTATAGCATCTTAATTTTCATAACTTTAGGTGCCCAAATAACAGCTGCTAGTTTAAAAAAATGAGAAAACATAATTCTGAGAAAAAGTAAGTTGCCCTATGCCTTCACAGAACAGATATTTGGGAACAGCTGGTCTTAAACATGAGTTTGCATTTTTAAAGCCTATTATAATCCCATTCTGAGAATCTCTATTTGGCTCAAACCTTTAACTATTATCCAGTACAAACAGACAAAACACTTGTATGTCCCCACAAACCTTACAGAAATCCTTGGCCCAGGGTAGGGCACACTCACTCACTTGCACCTGTGACCTGTGTGCCTACCTCCCAGGAGGTAGCTGAGTCACTCAGACACCTCCCAACCAGTCAGTGAGGCCAGTGTTAGTTTGATACTAAAATCAAACACATCATAACAAAACTACATATGAATGCTCCTTATGAATATAGATGCAAAAGTTCTAGCAAACCAACTACAGCAACAAATGAAAAAGGAGAGGCAGAGATACCCAATAGTGAGAATGGAAAGGGCCTCAACACGGAATTACTTAGGACTGACTGTAAAGATTATATGCCAATAAGGATTATATTCTAGAAACAAGCGTGATTCAGCCCAGGAATGTAGGATTGGTTTAAAATATGAAAATTGGTCCATCTAAAACACCATAATAAGCACATGATCATCTCAATAGAAAAGCATTTGACCAATTTCAATACCATTTCATGATGAAAAAAACATTCAGCGAACTGATAATAGCAGGGAGCTCTCAGCCTGCTAAACCAGAAGTGAACACGCCGACTGGTAGAAACCGTGCTTCCCCCAGAAGACGAGAACGTCTGCGCTCGCTCCCCACGGCCAGAGCAAGTAGGTAAGAAAAAGAAATGAAAAACATCCAAATTAGAAATAAAAATCAAGATTATCTCTGTTTTTATGGCATGATCTTGTATTATAGAAGATACTAAGGAACCTCCCAAATGAACTCACCAAGGTTGTAGAATCAATATTCAAAAAGTTTTTGTATTGCTATACACCAGCAATGAAGAACTCAAAAATAAAGCTGAGAATGTAATTCCATTTCCAATGACATCAGAAAGAATCAAATACTGTACTTAAGAATAAACTTAACCAGAGCAAGACTTGCACATTGAACACTACCATATGTAGGTCACTGTGAAAGTTTTGAGACAGACTGTGCAATGTCCATTATTTCACTTCCAAGAAACACAGTCGGCAGCGTCCTTTCTGAGTCACCCTGCAGGTTCCAACCCATCTGGCTTATTGGTGTTGCTAGGAGGGCTTTCTTTGTTTCCACCCACACAGATTTTACATTTCTTGATTTTTGTGTATCTCATAACTTTTGTAATGACCTTAAAATGTCACTGAAAGAAATGGAAAGACATCCCATGTTCATGAAATGAAAACTTAACTTTGTTGCAATAGTAATACTCCACAAATCGAGCTGAGATTCAAGTCCATCCCTATCAAAATCCCAGCTAACTTTTGTGCAGAAGTTGACAAGCTGATTCTAAAATTCATACGTATGTGAGAGGGAAGGGGCAAAATAATCTTGAAAAAAAAAGAACAAAGCTTCAGGACTCACACTTAGAATTCAAAACTTACTTCAAATCAGCAATCATCAAAGTCCATGCCGCATAGGGACAAGGACAGAATAGAAATCATGGAGCAGAATTGAGAATCCCTCACAGTTGTGGTAAATTGCTTTGTGACAGAGTGTGTGACAATTAATGAGGAAAGAATAATTCATTCAACAGTGGTGCAACAAGCAGATATCCTCATGCAAATGAATAAAACTGGTCACTTCCCTCACTTTCGTATACTCAAAGTAATACAATAAAAACCTAAATGTGAAAGCTAAAGCTATTTATATTTTTCTTATAAGAAAAACAAAAAACTAAATATTCATGACCTTGGTTTCTTAGATACAACATCAAAAGTATAAGTGCAAAAAAGGTAAATTGTATTTCATTGAAATTAAAAACTTTTGAGCTTCAAAGGAGACCATCAAAAAAGATAACTCAGGCTCAGTGCCTGTGGCTCAAGTGGCTAAGGCACCAGCCACATACACCTAAGGTGGTGGGTTCAAATCCAGCTCGGGTCCACCAAACAGCAATGATGGCTACAACCAAAAAATAGCCGGGTATTGTGGCTGTGGCAGGTGCCTGTGTTCCCAGCTACTTGGGAGGCTGAGGCAGGAGACTCGCTTGAGCCCAGGAGTTGGAGGTTGCTGTGAGCTGTGATGCTACAGCACTCTACCCAGGGAGACAGCTTGAGGCTCTCTCTCAAAAAAAAAAAAAAAAAAAAAAAGAACCCAGAGAATGGGAGAAATTACAATGAACTTTTACAGCACAACAATAAAAAAAAAAAAATACACAATAACAGAGCAAGTCATGTGGATATCTGCAGAGAGCATCAGGGCGGAGGAGGCTCAAGGGCAAAGATGGTTTCTGATGTATTCAGGGAACTGCAAGGAGCCTGGTGTGGGGACAATGAATAAGAAGAACAGTAAGAAATGAAACCAGAAGGTGGGGGGTGAGAGGCCAGATGGGGCCTAGAGCAACCTATCCTGAGGACTTGGGCTTTCACTCTGTGTGACCCAGGAGGCCTTTGGAGAGTTTGACACAGTCTGGCATGTTGATATATCATGAAAGGAGAGCTCTGATTGCTATGTTGAGAAGGGATTGAAGAGGGCAAAGGAGAAAACAGGGAGACCTGAGGGAGGTCCCTGTGATAACCCACATGGGAGCTGGTGGTACCAGGGTAGCAGCCTTGGAGGTGATGAGAAGTCTTTATATTCTGGATTTATTCTGAAGACAGAACAAAGAGGATTTCCCACATATAACATGTGAGGAACTGACGAATGTCAGGAATCAAAGGGGACATCAAGGTTTTGAGCCCACCAACCTACCAGACAACGGTGAGAACGACTGCAGCTAGCAGAGGTTTGGGCTGGATGGAGCTCCCAGGTGGAGTGTGATACACTGGAGATGTCTACCAGACATTCACATGAAATGCAGCAGGCAGCTGCGTGCACAGGTCTGAAGTCCAGGGAGAGAAGCCAAGGCTCAAGCTATCGGTTTGGGAGTCACTAATACACAAATGAAGAGACTGCATGAAATCATCAGAGAGTACAGAGAGAAAGGAGCTAAACCTGAAGGTGCTCAGATGTTTGAAGCTCAGACAGGATCCAAGAGGGCGGTGAGACAGAAAGGCGCAGCTGGGGAGGAGGAGGACAACCAGGAGTGTGTGTGGTGTCCTGGCTGTGGGTGGAGAAGCACTTCCGGGGGCAGAAAGGTGACTGTGACAGTGCTACCAGCAGGTGCAGCAGGGTGAGCTCTGCCAGCTGACTGCCAGGCCAGCAAAGGTGACCTCACTGGTAGCCTTGACAGTTGTGGACTTTGAAGTAGATTTGGCAAAATACTGAAAACAGAAGATGGATGGGACTGGGTTCAAGGGAAAGTGTGAAGAGAGAAAGGGGAGACGGTGAACATGGACAGCTCTTTCCAATACTGCTGCTTTAAGAGGAATCAAAGAAATGGTCTAATCTCACAACCCTGATATAAAGCAAAACAATCTATCACAGAATGCCTGTGATAGCCATAGACTTTTTTT